AGGGAGTATGAATGGCAGTGAGTGATAACGTTTCAGGAGTGTGGGCTGTCTGCAAAGAATCACAAGAAGCCTGTACATCAGTTTAACTAGACAGTGGGCCCGCAAAATAATTTTCCAGAAAGTGGTGGCAAGCTGAAAGGAAACCAAGCGCAATTAAAAACTAAAATAATCCGACCGCTTCTTCGAAAACACAAGAAAATCTACTCTCCAGCCTGAACCACACTGTGGAGCACTCGAATGTGTACTGTGGCAGCGCTTTTCATCCGTTTCTTGGTTAGATAAGGGTTAAAGACTTGTTCTGTGCGACTCATCGTAAAATATTAGGTGTCGGCTTTGGAGAGTTTATCCTCCAACAGTATTTATTGACACTTGTTGCCTCCCATCTGCAGATGTTGGACGAGGACGGACGGCACGGTGTTACTGGATGGATGTCAAGCTGGCTGGGAGGCAGAGGAGCACAAAGCGTCCCGAACACTCCTCAGAGACCCACCAGTGGCCAAAGCCTCAACTCGGTAAGAAACAAACAAGACCACCTGTGATGAAAATACTTTTTTTTTTTTTTTTTTTAAATAGTTTATTTCAATCTTGATTCTGCAATAAACACAGATTCAGACTTCGAGTTTTGTACGCAACAAACCTAAAGAGCCAAACCTCACAACTTGCAGGGTGAGACTTTTTGTGTCATTGTGTAGTGATGAGTAGTTTTACAGTATATGAGCAGAGATTTAGGTGAGCTGGTGTGCTCGAGCTGCAGCACACAGGTGAGAAATTGGTCAAGAAGAGGTGTGGACTTACTGCACAATTTAATCGAGGCAGTCGTGTAGTTGCATTTAAGCCGTTTTAAGGCCAGAATTTCATAGAAAAAGCTTCTAACTGTGTAACTTTTATACACAAAGATGAGTTTTTAGGTTAAATCAATGACTGGAAAGGACATAAGACTCTGCGCTTCCTTGAACTGTCTTCCATCAGTTTATCCAAAGGGGGAAAAAAAACATGATCCTTTACCAGGAGAAAGTTCAGAATTGGAAGAAGAGAGCATAATAATCACTAAAACAGTTGCAAAGAGGGTCAGATAGAATAAGTAGTTGTCAAAACACATTTTTTCTCAAAAGAAACAAAAATAGTAGTTCATAAACCCACAGGCCTCCAATTATAGCAAAACGAAGCGTCCAGAAGGTATCTTTGCATACACTGACCAGCCACAACAATGGAAAATGCAATGATTTGTCGGTGCATTGACGCAGGACGATGGCATCGGATCCTCTGGTAGGTTGCAGGATTTGTAGTCGGTACTTGTTCTGGCGGATTTAACAGATGTTTGATCGGACTGATGTCTGAGGAGTTTGGAGGCGAAGTCAACACTTGGAGCTCTTGATTGTGTTCCTCAAGCCATCACTGAGTAGTTTTTGTGGTGTGGCATGAAGAATAGTCCTGCTGGGGGAGGCTGCTGCCACTGGGGCTTTGCTTGGTCTGCAACAATATGTAATTGGTGGTACATGTTGAAGTAACATCCACATGAATGCAGGATAGAAGGCTTCTGAAGCAGAATATTGTTTTGTCATAAAATGATCGCTGTTGTTTACTAAACCTGTTTTAATGTTGTGGCTGACTGTTGTACATGCTCAGTCAGAGTATGATTCATGCTACTCATCATGGCTGCAACTAGAAATAACCCAAATTATGAAACTGCAGCATATCTTATAACTTTACAGATACATCCCCTCCAAGTATTGATATCTTTATTAAAACACGAGGCGCTCTAACCGGCGGTATAGAAGAAAGCTTCAGGTGGAAAACTGATCAGAAAGTGAATTAAGTCAACAAAAAGTGATAATACACTCACACACTGACACCACAATGCAGTGAATAAATACATAATTGCTGCTTTTTGCCTTTTTCGGGGTATTTCTTCCCCCTTTTTCAGCTACACCGATGTTGTGACATATTGTAGGTTATTGTCCTGCAAAATATGAAGTATCACAGAATGGCTGTACCTTGACACCATCGCTATCTTTACACAGCGTACCATGACTCACTCTGGGATCTCCACCTTTAGCCACAGCAGCACCCTGCACACATCCTCTGACAGACATCTGAAGTTCTTAAAGACAGTTATGATGCAGAGCTCAAACCAGGGTCTTTACCTCTGAACCTCTAAAAGAAAATCTGATTTGTACATTTATACATTAAAATAAATCACACTTCTGCCTGAAAATAAAGGAATATGAGTGGAGCTTTCATTTGTTCAGTTTCCCTTTGCGTCACTCGTACAGCAGAAACAGTCGAGCCAAGAATATATTTATCCTTCCAGGGAAAAAGATGAGGTTGTGAAATTGCAATATGCAAGTACTTGACTTCATGTTAACACAACTCCCTTCATAGGAATTGTGTACAAAGTATTCATACGAAAATATTACCTCATGACAACATTCTTATTTCTTGTTTTTCTTATTTCTGTGTTGGAAAGCACCTTGGCTCAGCATATGTTGTTTTAAATGTGTTCTATGAATAACAGTGACTTTTGGTAAGAAAAATATCAAATGCAGTGACATTTACATGTTTGTGTACCTGCCAAAATTAAAGTCTGCACTCCATCCAGCCGTATCCTATCCCTGCTCGTGCAGGAATATGCATTAATGGCAGCAGAGCAGCAGGTTTTTCAGCCAGTGCTCTACTCAAGTGTCTTTAAACAAGACACTTATTCTTTAACAGGATGCTCGACTAAAGCTAACAGTTGGTTTTGGGCTTCCTGTGTTGCACGTATAGAAGATCTATCCCTGTTTTGATTCACTCAAAGTCTTCCTGTTCTATTCCCTGTTGTTGCAGTCTTTCTCTGAGATGTTCGTAAAGTTCCTGGAGATCGAGTCGACCCCGACGCTGCCTGCACCAAAGCTCCCGGTTCACGACATCAAGCCTCTGAGCGCGCCGCCTCCCAGAAGAACCAGCAGCGCAGCTCCCAGCGGCGCTACAGGTAAACGAGCCCTGTGGGGAAACCTCGCCGCCAGGATGTTTCTCTCACTCGTGTGCTTTAATCGCTCCTGTCAGACGGGAGGCAGCGTTCTTTCTTCCTACCTCCCCAAACACATCAAACTTAATTTAAATATAATCCTGTCTCCCCCCCCCTGCAGGAGCTGCAGCAGCCAGCAAGCGAGCCGGCGAGTCCAACCCCTTCCTGGTGCCTCGCTCTGCCGCGGTGCCGCTGCTGGCCGGTTCCAGCTCCAGCGGCTCTGGAGGTCACCTGCTGATGAAGCCCATCTCCGACGCTCTCCCCACCTTCACGCCTGTGCCAGTGTCAGCCGAGGCCAGCGCTGGAGCTGTGCTCAAAGACCTGTTAAAGCAGTGATCGCTCCAACATGAGTTACACAGAACTGAGATGTTTGGGCAGTTTTGCTACTCGTTGCTGCTCTTTTTTTTTTTTCTTTTTACTATTATTTCCTGCAAAAATAAATGACCAGAGACTTGGTAAAGGCTCAATATCACCATTTTTTTTGGAGGGGACTGAAAGTAAAGTAGGTTTTTTAGATTCAGTTTTACTTGCAATTTCCTGTTCTATGCAACAGACTCTCCCTTTACACATCAGTGCAAGTGTTTCCAAGTGTGACCCACAAGTTCAGCATTAACAATGAATTGACTCCACGTGCAAAAAAGGATGCAGGTTGAGAACATTTTTAAAAATTGTGGGTCGTTCAGTGTGTGAGCAACGAACTAGATTTTTAAAACTACTTTTTTTTGTTCACAAGTTACGTCTTAAGCTTTGATTTTCATTCATCGCACCAGTTCTGAACACAAGTGACCTTGTAGACTCGCTGTGTGCAGCGCGATACATGTGGGCTGAGTCTCATCATCATCACCTCCGTTTGCGAGAGGAAACCTTCAGTTTTCATCCTTCAACTTGCATTTTATTTCCTCGACTTTTGAGTAGTTTTTCTTTTCAACAACGCAGCGAGCTGTTTCTGATCCAGGACTTGCCTAGAAAACTCTCTGGCAGCAGCAGCAGCAGCCTGCGTACAGATTTATGCGGTTCAGTACATCTGTTAAAACCATAAAGACGTTTTTTTTTTTTTTGTTGAAAAATCTTGTCTTTTCCAGACGGCCAGACTGTGATATGCAATAAGCGGTGTAATTATGGCCGTAGCTGCTGACTGTGGTTGATGAGAGACTGCTCTTATGTTTAAGTACAGTACTATTATATAGTTATATATATGTAAATGGGTGGCGTTTTTTTCCTATTTATAGGCACCAAGGCAGAAAGTGAAGTGCCTGCATTTTTTGCTAATTAGATAGTTGTATAATCAGGATTGTAAATGGTTAATATAAATATATATATTTACAAAAATGTTTAAAAAAAACAAAAAACTGCACATTTAATAGGCTTTACCTGACCAGAGAGTAACTGAGCTGCTCTACATTTTTGTATAGACATCAATCAGAATCCGCTGCAGAAGGAATGTTACAGGGTTTCAGGTGTATTGATTGAAAAAAAAGAAAATGTATAAACTGTAAATTCTCAGATTTTTTTTTTTGTAGATCTCAAGCGGAGTTACCTTGATGATCTTTAATTGAGGTGACTTAATTGGAATCTGAAATCAAATAAAGGCACCACTGCTGACCCTCTTCCTGGTTGTCTTCTCTTTTTTTTTTTCCTTCCTCTCCAAAATTGCGCATTCGTGTGTGCCAGATGTGGCGACCAGGAGCGCCAGATGTACAGTGTCATTCCGTGGGGTGGTGGTAGTAGTGGCGGTGGGGGGGGGCTGTTTATAACTTTGGAAAACAAGACACCCACTGTGTATTTGAGTGTATTTGTGCGCCCCCCCACCACCGACCCTCCAGCCCTCCAAACCAGCACAGGAGCCGCCGCTTGTCGGAGCGAGTGCGCCGCTGTGGGGCCGCGGCGCGCTCTGACCGGAGGGGGCTGGCTCTGCTGATTGAATCCAGCTGTTGTGAAAGTTGCTCGGAAGGGGGGCCCGTGGATTTGCATTGCTAAACAATCTGCGGAGCGGGACGGGACGGAGCAGGAGGCTAGAAACAAGAGCGGGTCGGTCGCTGCAACACTTGGTTTCATGTACCGAAGCTCCAGCTCGAGCAGACAGCGGTTAATGAAAACCTGGTGTCGGCTTTCGCGTAAAAAGGCGCATAGTTGTGGGGGGTGGCGGTGAAGGGGATCTAAATCTTTCCTTTTTTCAGGGAGCTCTCTAGAAACCACTAAACCATGCTTTTTGAAATACGTGGCTTCAGGTTTTGCTCTCCTGCGAGGTCAGTACTCTCCGGATTAGTTTTTTTTTTTTTTCCTCCTTCAGTTTTGTGTGAATGAATATGTAACAGGATGCTTGTCTCAAGTTTCAAGTTGTTGTTTTTCCCTCCACCAAACTGTCTCAGAGAGGACTTTAAACACTTGTGATTCCCTTTTTGCAGGATGTTGGCAGCTCTGGTATTTATTCTGCTTTGTATCCGGCCTGGACATGGACAGGTAACACAACATTTCATTCATTTAGGCTGAGGTCAAGGTCATGTTGCTGCGCCATGTCATTTGGATGAAGTCAGAGGCTTTGAGTACACACAAAGTGCTAATGTAGCGATAGAAATGCATTTTCGGCACAAACTAATGCATTAAATGTGTATTATTTGCATTAGTTTGTCAACAAATCCACTCTCTCCTCAGACCTGCACAGAAGGTTTTGCCTATGACCGCAGGGCCAGACAGTGTATAGGTGAGTGTCCAGACTTTTACAGGCTTTTATTGTGAAAAATCTCATTTTCAGCTTGCATTTAACAAACTGAAGTTGTGCAGCAGAATGAAATCCCCCAGCCGACACAGCAGTGGATGGATCGCAGGCTCACAGATGTTGCTGGATGCAGGAATGTCCTTATCGGTTGCTCTGTATTCCAGATGTGGATGAATGCCGCACCGTGCCAGATGCGTGCCGAGGAGACATGCGCTGCGTGAACCAGAACGGAGGATACCTGTGCATGCCCAGAACCTTTTACAACCAGCCGTACAGGCAGGACACTCCCGTCCTGCCCGACGCTGCCTACCCGGACCCCTCCACGGGGTTTACGGACACCTTCCTCCCGGCTGTTCCAGGCAGAGGCGGCGTGGAGCCCAGCTACCCCCGAGTGAGGAGCACGGCGCAGTGCATCCTGGGATACACTCCTGCAGAGGATGGCACCTGTAATGGTAAGTCTGCTGTTATGATCCCTGGTTTCAGGTGGTGGAGGAGGTTTAAATTCTTAAAGGCTCCATATTGAGGGACTTTTCAGCAGTGTGTCTTTCAGTTTCCTGTTCAAAACACTGCAAAGATGGTTCATTTCACCACGACTGTGTAACTCCTGGGCTTAGTCCAGTTCTAAATGAGCGGTTTAAGTCTGAATACGAATCAACTGCTGCTGTTCCCGCCCTCTTCAGGAAGAAAACTCTGTGTGTGCAGCCAGAGCTGAGTATTAGTTAGATGTTAAATAGCACTGCAAAGATGGTTCATTTCACCACGACTGTGTAACTCCTGGGTTTAGTCCAGTTCTAAAGGGGCTGTTTTGCTGTAAAAACTAATCAACTGCTGCTGTTCCCACCCTCTTCAGGAAGAAAACTCTCTCTATGTGTGCATCCAGAGCTGAGTATTAGTTAGATATTTGAAATCCCTGGAGTTGATTCTCACTTGAAAATGAAACATTGTTGGAGGAGAAAGTGTTTAAAAACTTAAAGGTCCAGTGTTGAGGAACTTTTCAGCAGTGTATCTTTTAGTTTTTCTGTCAAAATACTGCAAAGATTTTATCACTCCTGGGTTTAATCCTCTTCTAAATGGGCTGTTTTACGCTGAAAACCAATGAACTGCTGCTGCTCCCAGCCTCTTCAGGAAGAAAACTCTCTCTGTGTGTGCAGCCAGAGCTGAGTATTCGTTAGTTAGATGCTACGTAGCACTGACGTTGAATTCCCACTTGCTTGTAAAACTGCTAGCTCGTTGTTTGAGGCTTCAGTAATGGGTAAATGTTTTTATATTTTAAAACTTTTGTTTTTTCCCCTCCACGGGACCTTTAAATAAAACTATGATTCTAATTTAGGAGTCCAAAAAAAGAGAAAAGCAGTTAGTTATTTATGTGTCAGACCCTCTAAAGGGTCACAAGATTCATCTGAGACTGTTGTGAGATTATTAATAGGTTAGGAACGTGGTAAGAGAAAGGCTCTGAGAGACAATATTGGTTTAAAGCTGTTGATTTATCCCCTAAAAATGTATTTTTATGTATAAAAATGACATATTTACAAGATTTTTTTCCCACTAAAACAATCTCTTCCTGCAATAAAATGTAACTTCACAGTGTTGCTTCATCAGGAATGTGTAGATCTATGACGTCTCCTCCTCCCTCTGCACTCACCCCTCACCATTCACTGCAGTTGAAGCACACCAGCTCACTTACAGCTCTGCTGAAACACTGTAAAACTGCTCAGCGCTACACAATGGCACGTTGTGATATTGCAGTAATTCAGTCCTACATGTCTGAACAGGAAACTGAGACAGAAGAAGATTAATGATGCAGAAACCTGACCAGAGTGAGTCCTTAGATTTGTAACAAATAAAATTTTGATCTTTTCCGGTGGAAATGCTCGGCCATGACATCAGCTGCTTATTTCGCTCCTGATGTGTTTTCCAACATTTAAAAAAACACCACGTGGAAATTAGATAAGAAAAACTGAGATTTTCACTGGAGAGGGTCTTTAATTCTCATCCTCTGAAGTAATCTTTGTTTTGATGAGATATTAAAGCTTTAAATCATTATTTAAATGTGAAACAATCTGAGAAGTTCACAGAGTAAACGCCTCTTTGGTAGAACTTCAACTAATGCTGTCATCTGAAACTTGACAAAAGGCTTCACCTGCTGCTTTTTTGTAAAACTTCACAAGGCTCAAATAGATGATTTTTGAATAATGTGTTGTGATTTGTAGGCGTATAAATCTGTCTGATAAAACTAGTTAAACTCCATGTATCAGTGATTCATTGCCTTTTATAAGCTTATTACTCATGAAGTAAAAAGTCTAACATTTACTTCTGAAATATCGTAGAGTGAAAGTGGAATTAAATCAAAGCACATGAATGTACGTAGTCACTTTCCCTCACTGTCTGATTCATTTTAACCTCCTCACACTTTAATAAGCTTCAGAGAGCTCAGATCTGCACATGGAAGACGGTTTGAACATTTAGTTGGAGTTGTTCGCTCATGATAATTTGGGCTGCAAACGCTTCGTTCCCTACTTCCTGATGCTTTTTTTCATCCATTTGTGCCTTTTCTGTTTTAATTTATGTTGGAAATGTCTTTGCTTTTGTCAAAGAAAACACAAAATTCAGGAACCAGATGAGAATTCAAAATCTAACAGAATTCTGTGTTGCTTCAGCTGTTCTCATTTCATATCAACGCTACAGATTCAGCAGACTTTTCACACATGGTTCATGGTTTTATTGCAGCGGGGACAAATGCATGTCTTCTAAACACCCCCGAAATCTCCGCCTTTACATCTGCAAAGAAATTATCAGTCACATAACACAGACGTACGAGACTGAAAGCTTCTTGTCTTCAGACCAAATTTTGAGAAATGTGGAGGAAGCGCAGCTTAAGCCAAGTTTCCTGGTCTGTTGTTTTCACTTGTTTGCTTACACCAGCCTGACAAAAACTCTGCTCGCTTGTTCGCGGCGGTTTACGCCCATTTTATCGCAGGCAGAGAGTCTGAGCTCAGTTTGCTGTTTTCTGCAGCCCCAGCAGAGGACGAGGGGAGATTTAGACTTGTGACCCTAAAAATGAAGCAACATTTGTCAGAGATTGCACATGTCGCTGATTTTTACTTTGAAAATTGCTTTATTTTACCTTTAATGGGGGTAAAGATTGTATATTTGTGCATTAATTCTCCAGCAAATGTGTCAAGATTAGTGAAGAATAAAAGCAACTTTCTGTTTCTCTACCCTCCGTATCACCGCATCGCCCCTCAGATTTATTACACTGTAAAAAACTGACGTCCTTACCTGTACATTTTTGAACAATTTACTGTTATTTTACAGATTTTCTCTGTTTTGTTAAATTATACATAATGACTAGTAAAATTCTACAAAAAACATTAATAATAAAAAAAACAGGCTGCAAAAAACATTCACATCAAAAACTATATTTTTACAATTTTTACTGTATTTAAATACATTTAAATAACATTATTTACAGATTTAAGAGAGAAATTGTCCATATTATGAAATGCAAACCGGTAGATATATTTTTAAAGTTATTCTACAGATCTAGTCTATTTTGTTAAACTACAGATAATATCATGTAAACTCACAAAAAAGTATTAAACTACAGTTTAACTGTAAAAAAAAAAACACAGGCCAGACTGTATATAATGTCTGCATCAAAAGTATATTTTGTTAATGGTAATTTGTTCTTTTATAACATTTGACTGTAAAAAAAAAAAATAAAAAATTCTTTATTTAAATCAGAAAAATGTAAAGATATTTGCAATATTCTGAAGAAGAAAATTCTGTACATAAGTATTTAAAAACGGTAATTATTTAACTAACTTTTATTTTGTTAAATTACAGATAGTATCTAATAAAATCAAAGAAAAAAAGTATTAATTTATGTGTTAACAGCAAAAAAACAAACAAACAAACCTTTAACCGTACCTGCTGTCTTCATTAAAAATCTTTGCTTGATTATTTTACAGATATTTACAGGTATTTTCACCATTTTTAAAATTGTTATTTAATTTAATTTAATTTAATTTAATTTCCCTTCTGGGATAAATAAAGTATTTTTCATTTTTCTTTTATTTTTTATTTTCCTATTTTTATTATTCTCCTTGCTCATTCCTCGGGCGACACCACTACTTGGCCATTAAAGCTGATTCGGATGAAAAAATAAATTTAAAAAAAGCTCCCAAATCACTCAGATGTTATTTTG